TATTTCATCGTTATTTGTTGACATCCAATCTGAATCTTCATTATAGGAATGAGTGCCTCTTTTTCTGTGTGTAACTTTCGAAGTTGGAAGTGATTTATCCTTCTAAAAGATAATCATAAATTAGTTCGTGCACCTAATAACCATGAAATAATGAGTATCTTTTAAATTAAATAATTGTTACATACTTTTTTCTCATTTTCAATGTAAATTCCGATGAATCTGACTCATCTAATTCTTCATTATATGAAATAGGGACTCTTTTTCTGAATGTGATTCTCGATGTAGAAAGTGAATCATCCTTTAAAAGAAAATCATAAATTACTTCATGCGCTTAATAACCATAAAATTAATGACTAACTTTTGAATTAAATTGTTACATACTTTCTTACTATTTTCTATATAGTCAGATTCCGATGAATTTGACGTTTCTGATTCTTCTTTATATGAAATATGACCCTTTTTTCTGAGTGTGATTTTCGTTGTAGAAAGGGATTTACCCTTTTAAAAGAAAGTCATAAATTAGTACGTGTATTTAATAACCATGAAATTAATGACTATACTTACTTTTGATAAGCTTTGCCTGTTATTGATACGCATATGATTCTTCTCCCAATTTCTAGCACGATTACGGTCTTTCCGGTCACCCTATTATGTAAAATTGTTAGTAATATCCTTAATTAAACATTTATAGTATAGATGACCTTAATAAAATATATTATTAATCAAGTAATTTTGTTATAAGCATCTAAGATCCCTGCCATTTATTTCTATTCCATCAAGCCTCTTTTGGCTTAAACGAAATACAACCTTTGAGATAGTCCTCACCCCAACTCTAACCTCGTAGCTCGCCTTCGAGGCTTGAATTATATAAAACCTTCAAGGTCCCACACACGCTACCAATTTCAGATTATTTTAGTCTAACCTAAAAATATTACCTTCTATACAACGCAAGTAATTGATTTGCTCGTTTTTTCCTTCCTCTTCATGGGAATTATGCTTCAAGGGATTTAAGATATATAGATATTTTAACGTCAAACTTTTCTTGCTCACATTTCTCTAGAAACTTTATAACATCCCACTTGACAAAAGGTTGATTAAAATATTCATGTATGACATTTTCAGATATGGTTGAACTGAGAGATTCACGGTGACGCACGATTTTCTGGGTTATATAAAAAATTGTTTATTACAGTCGTCCTCCTCTATAATCACGTGGTTTGTTTTACATAAAAAAGATGTGATTATAAAATTTTAATAGTATTAAGTTTTTTTTTAATAAATAAATTACCAATAATTTTTCGAAAAATGGTGCTTCTAAAGAGGGTGTGACTTTATAGGAGGTGACTGTAGAGGAGGACGTCTTTATCTTTGTTAGCCATTTCTAATTTTGGCATGTTCATCTTTACCATATTTGACAGTATAATGTGACATATCGAGCGTGTTTCTTACTACCAAATTGGGGTCGTCTAAAGCGGAGGCACATCATGTGATCAACAGCCAATCAAATGATAGAATTTTGTTGATCGCCAGCGAAGCAAAAAAACAAAAAACCAGTCTAAACCTACCTCGGGTAGGTTAATCAAAAATGTCTGGAAGGCAATTTTGCTTATAAAAAACCTAACCTAACCCCAATACAGAAGACCCTAACCCTAAAGTTAATCGAAAAAATTATTAAATATGAGTTGCCTCCGCTTTAGACGTCCCCCAAATTTGGATGATGTAGATCATACCCTTTTTTGTACAATTAGAAAATTTCTGATACTTCCATTTAAGTCTATTGCTATTCTATACTAATCTACGGGGTTAAATTACGCCAATTGTTCTCTGATTTGGAATTAATTCAAACATTTATTATTAACTATCTCACGATTCCACTACCGGCTGTTTTATGTTGTAGATCGATTTCCATATTTGGTAAAATCCGACCTCTATCTCGCAGGGATCGACAAAAACAGAATGTTTTGAATCAGTTTTATATTGCTTTAAAGTGATTTTTTACATGTTTTAAAACATCGTCACGATATTGATATCATGATTAATGATATAGTTATGATCATGATTATAAATTCAAATCTTCTGACTTTTTGATCTTTGTGACACAAACCGATGGCATATTTTGATTAAGGAATAAAAAATTCATGGCGACACTGAAGTTGAAATTACCCAATTATAGTAATTTTAGCTTCATCCATCAGCACCATAATCAACAATATTTTAAAACATTTTATTAAATCAAGTTAAAAATCATAAAAATCATTAAAAAGCGATTTTTTACCATCCCTAAGTATTTCCTTGCAATATCTCAAAAAGGAAATTTTTGCTCCCGTCTTTTTATATATAGACATGATTTACATCAACATATAAATAATAATTGTGGCAGATTAAAATGAAATCAGATTAAAATGAAATGAGCGATAGTGTAAAATAGACAAGCCACCGAAAAATACAAAGTTTTTTGGGTGCATTTTTTAGCATTTGTTTAAGGTTGGATTAGGGTTTAGAAAGAAGTTTTATAATAAACAAGTATAATTGGGTCAAATGGAAACCCACATTTCATTTTAATCCGATTTCATTATGATCTGCGACAATAATTAGGGTAGCTGCGCAGCGTGTGACGCGGCGCAGGACCAGTACGATCACATACACTTCATGAAATTTTCAATATCACTCCGTTCTAAAAATATTTTAGTATATATTTCGAAATTATTTTTGGGTGACAAATATATTTTTTAGATGACGTAAATTTTTTTGTATGGCGACAATATTTAACTAAAATTATAATAAATTTTGCATTTAATAAAAGAGAGTTTCTATTTGTACACGGGCAATATAAACATATCAAAATTTTGATTATGAAACCACCTTTTGGCTTCTAACAAAAAAAAACGTCTTGTATTTTTGTTTGTCGGCATGTTACACGAATTTGTCATTCAATAAATTATATCCGTGTATAAACACTATGTGTAAGCTAATAAATTTTCTTAATAAAAATATGAAAAATATGCACTAAAACCAATTAGATCTTTCACTATCGAAAAAAATTTTCAAACTAGGGATGGGCGATTTTTATATGTACTATTATTTAAAATATTATTTAATTATTGTCGCGGCTGATGCTGGAAACGGCTGATGCTGGAAATTTTAATTATTTTAATATGAAATTTTTAAAAAATTTTAGGGCCTTTTGTTAGGGGTTTTTTTTTAGGGTTAGGTTAGGGTTTAGGGTTAGTTTTAATAATAAAAGAGTATAAGTGGATTTTGGTAGGACGTATTTTTTTAAATCAGCTTATCTGATTTCCAGCTTCAGCCATTTCCAGCTTCAGCCGCGACAATTATTATTTTCTGTATTTGAAATTTTAGGCACAAGAAATTATACGAATGTAACTTTATTAAAATGCTGTAACTTATCCTAAATTTGGAGGCCGTCTAAAGCCTTGTAGTATTTTATATATGCGACGTGACTTTTAATTTACAAATCGATTTACTAATCCAGTCAGATTTATACAGAACGGAGTGCAACGTAGTGTGTGGTTACTAGCATTAGTAGATATCATTTCACGTAGATTAGTCATATTACAAAAAATTGTCGGTCCTGTGATCCCAAGCTATTCACGCCACTAATTATACCATAAAGTGCCAACTGATGTATCCGGGTATTTACAATGTCTTGAGCTATACCCAGGGGGGTTCCCTTATGTCAAGCAAAAACGGACCACCCCGGATCCGTCATCCCTGATCCGACCTCCTGCACCAACCCCTTAAATCTCGCCCAAAGCGTGATACACAATGTGCTTGTGACACAAACTATCGTTCTCAGTTATAAACAAAAATAAAAATAACAGTAACTAATTAAGAAACTAATCAAAAAAAATAAGTACAAAAAAAATTGTAAGTAAATAGCTTTTTAGTTTATTTTTTTTTATTTTTTAATACTAGCGATGTTAAATGTTGATTCTTAATAGAAAGTCGCAGAAAATTATAAACTATTATAAAAGCTAAGTATAATATCGACGTTCTTTATTTAATTAATGCTGAGAAAAAATATTACATATTTCTTCTAACTTATTAACAACATTTTCTCTTTTATCTAAAGGTATGCTATTCAGATCTATCTTCTGACGAACAATGTCAAAATGCTCTAACTGCTGGGTAATGTCATGATTTATTTTTTCAATCCGTCTTTTAAAGCTATTTTCTTGATTCCTAATAACTGTATTGTTAGTAATCTTTTGTTCTTCGTCTCCATTTATAGGTAAATAAGTAATTTGCTCTGGAATTTGAATGTTGTATTTACGTGCAACAACAAATATATGTTTGCAAGGCACTGGGTTTCCTAAATATGCTTCACAATTACAGACAAGGGTTAACGCGTTATCTCCTGTTTGCTCAATTGTATAATCATTCTCATCCTGACTTGATTTGATAATATAAGTAGATATGTCCAAACGAAAAACTGAACTATTATCAATACCAATAGAATTTAATTCAAATTGTCGCCAAGCTTTGTGGTGCGAACTCATTCTTCCAACACCTAATTCACGTTGAATCGTTTGTTGATGATAATCAGGTAATATTTTCGTTACTAATTCATTAATAAGAAAATCAATCCTTCGATTAAGTCGGGTCATAAGGTAGAAATATTTGATTTTTTTATGATACGCTTCTATGTAATTGTTTGTGTTGGTTCCAAGAACTTGATTACGGCGATAACATTCTATCCACATTTCTAAAAAAAAAAGTAAATATTTTTTTTATTAATAAAAAATATTATTTTAATAAAGGTGATCCCGTTAATATCAACCTAATTCACAAGACAAATTTTTATAAATTTTTATATATAACAACTTTAATATGATCTCTCACTATTAACATGACTTAAAATCAATTCAAATAGAAATTAAATAATTTCACCTTTTTTTCGTCGATATTGAGTATTAAAGTATTGTATCGCAGGTGTACATTGCCATTTTTTTTCAAATTCAATGAGGGCATTATCTACATTATTTTCGTCATTAATGCTAAGTAGTTGGCTCAAATCATGAAACAAATTGTCACGCTCTTTTGTTCGCATTTGTTTATTAATCCATCTACGCCATGCGCGTTTGATGTGCCACCAACATAAAAAAATGTTTGATGTAGTGAAAATATCCCTAATCGCATTAATTTCAGCATCATCATTGTCTAAAATCACATTCACCGGATCTACCCACCCGTCTTCTTTCAGAGCACGAAACCATATCTTAATTGTTTCAGAGTCTTGTGACTCTGTTAATAACCATACTAATGGAATGCCGTGACCACTATGGGGATGCCGAATTAAAATTGTAAAGAGGGCATATTTATGATGATTGGTATTATGCGTGGAATCAATGTGGATTATCTAATTGAGCAAAAAAAAATATATATATAAATGTGTATACATATAAATGAAATACAGTATATCATTTATTTATTTGTAATAAAAAAACCCCCATTGAAGCAAAAGAAAAAAGGTAATTGAAAATAAAAGGACAAGAACAAAATATAAATCTACCCTGTAGTGCTAAAAAAAAAAAGAAAAATAACCTTTACGCTAAAAAAAAAGAAAGATAACCTTTGCCTAAGTCCTAACTTAGACCAACTATAACTTTTGAAAAATCTTGTAAAATACCTCATGATATTTTTCGTATAACTTAAATTGCCAAAGCGTATGGAATCCAAGCATAAATTTCTGTCCACTATACATTTGGAAGCAGGAAAGCATAGGGTTATACAAATTATCACATTTTTCCCTATTGTTTTTTAATATTTCAACCCATCGTTGTACACTATTCATTTCGAGGCCACTATAACATATGAATTTCTTTATAGATTATATTATATATATCTTCATATGTAAGTAACTCGTCTCTATTTGGAACAACTTCATTTGAAATAAAATACCTAAAAATTTTATTTAATTCAAATAAATTATATAAGAAAAAAAAAAAAAAAAAAAAAAAAAAAAGAGGCGAAAATAAAATACTTTTCGGTTATTTCTTCCGATGCCTTCATTAATTGTTGGATCGCTGAAATTGACAACCCTTGTTGCGCAAACTTCCTAATTTCAGCAATAATTTCTTTTGATTTTTTGAGATATCTAATATCACTGTGACTACTGGGAACATGACCATTGTGTTTATACCAATAATAAACAATTACGAGTTCATTAAAAGAAGAAGGCTGATATTGAATACGCAGGGCGCATTTGCACCCAACCTTTTTTGACTCTTTTTGTATACGCCTTTTTTTTTGCGAAGAACCACCTTCTACATGATCATTCCTTACTTGCTTGCTACCTTCTCGTAAACATAGGTAATATTCAGACCAAGACCCCTTTTGATTTTTATAGGTTCCGTGTTTTTTTACAAAATTTATGCTTTTTGATTTTTCCTCCTCATCCATCCAACTACGGTACGAACTCAGAGGTAATGTAAATCTGCGGTACCCTGCTTTCTCCTCAAGAATATACAATGACTGCATATCAAAGTGAGTTCGGGCATGATTTATTAACGTATTACCGTAAAACGCCGTATAAGGTACCCCCCTTGATTTGTACCCCCCTTGATTTGTACCGGGTATGTTTCAAGGT